ACTCATCCACCAATTGGCAAAAACATCCACCCATCATCCATCCACATTTGACGGATGAGAGGGAAATAGTGTCAGCTGTGTCCACCTATCCATCCGTCCACCACCCACCAAGAGGCGATGGATGAGAGTCAAGGGCGTTGTCCACATATCCACCCATTCATCCAGTCACCGCCCACCACCCACCAACAGGCGATGGATGAGAGTTAAATTCGTCAGGCAATGGACGTGAGGCAAGGACGTCAGCCATGTCAGATCACCGCTCTCCACTACCCTCCACCACCCTCCACGCCCCTCCACCGCCCCTCCACCGCCCTCCACCACCCTCCACGCCCCTCCCCCACCCTCCAATATCCTCCACGCCCCTCCACCGCCCTCGACGCCCCTCCACCGCCCTCCTCCACCATCCACCGCCCTCCACCTCCCCTCCACGCCCCTCCACCACCCACCGCCGCCCACGCCCACGGGAGAGAGACAAGCAGCATCAGAGACAAGTGACATCAGTCGCCGCCCACCGTGCGGATTCCCTCGTCACTCAACAGAGCGTGTTTTCTTTTTTTAATTTTCCTGTCTCCTCAATTTTTCTTTCCTTTTTTTTTTTTTTTTTTCCTGCCTCCTCAATTTTTCTTTCCTTTGTTTTTCTTTTTTTCTGAATTTTCCTGTCTCCTCAGTTTTATTTCCTTTTTTTCCTGTCTTCTTAATTTTATTTCCTTTTTTTTCTTTCTTTCTTTCTTTCTTTCTTTTTTCTTTTTGTCATTCTTCTTTCATTCGGTCGTATTCTTTTTTTTCTTTTTTTCTTTTTTATTTCCTTTTTTCTTTCGTTTTTTTCATTTTCCTTTTTTCTGATTTTTATTTCCCCTTTTTTGTTCTAATTATATTAATTCTTTATCTTCAATTTTCCTTTTCTTAATTTTCTCATTTTCTTTTCTCTTTACTTCCTAATTACTTCCTTTTTCCCACCCTCTTCATTTTTATTTATTTTTCCTTTTTTCCCTTTTTCCTTTTCTTTCATTTTCTTTTTTCCTTCCTCTTCTTTTCTTTCTTTTTCTTGTTTCCTTGTTCCCTGTTTCTCTTTTTTTCATTTTTACTTTTCTTTCTTTTTCCTTTTTCCTTCTTTTTTCTTTTTCCTTTTTTCTTTTTTTTCTTTTCTTTCTTTTTCCTTTTTTTCTCTTTTTTCTTTTTCTTTTTTTCTTCTTTGTCCCCTTCTTTCTTTTTCCTTATTCCTTCCTCATCTTTGTTTTTCTTTTTCCTCTTTTTCCCTTTTTCCTTTTTATTATTTTTCTTTTCTTTTCGTCTACGTGTCATATATATACCATTGGCTGAAGCGCAACGAACGATTGTTGAGGTTTATTGCATGTTTCCTTTGTTCTCTCTGTTCCTCTTTTTCTTGAATTTTCTCTCTTTTTGCTTCTGTTTCTGTGCCTTTCTTTTTCTGGTCTGTTTGTCTGTTTATCTGTCTATTGATCTCTCTCTCTCTTTTTCTCTCTGTTTTTCTTTCTCTCTCTGTTTCTCTTTCTCTCTCTCTCTTTCTCTTTCTCTTTCTATTTCTCTCTCTCTCTCTCTCTCTCTCTCTCTTTCTCTTTCTCTCTCTTTCTCTCTCTCTCTCTCTCTTCTCTCTCTCTCTCTCTCTCTCTCTCTCTCTCTCTCTCTCTCTCTCTCTCTCTCTCTCTCTCTCTCTCTCTCTCTCTCTCTCTCTCTCTCTCTCTCTCTCTTTCTCTCTCTCTCTCTCTCTTCTCTCTCTCTCTCTCTCTCTCTCTCTCTCTCTCTCTCTCTCTCTCTCTCTCTCTCTCTCTCTCTCTCTCTCTCTCTCTCTCTCTCTCTCTCTCTCTCTCTCTCTCTTTCTCTCTCTCTCTCTCTCTTCTCTCTCTCTCTCTCTCTCTCTCTCTCTCTCTCTCTCTCTCTCTCTCTCTCTCTCTCTCTCTCTCTCTCTCTCTCTCTCTCTCTCTCTCTTTCTCTTTCTCTCTCTTTCTCTCCCTCTCCCTCTCCCTCCCCTTACCTCCCTTTCTTCCTCCTTTCCTTCTTTCCCTTCTTTCTCTTTCTCTTTCTCTCTCTCCCTCCCTCTTCCTCTCCCTCTCCCTCTCCCTCTCCCTCTCCCTCTCCCTCTCCCTCTCCCTCTCCCTCTCCTTGCCTCCCTTCCTCCCTCCTTTCCTCCCTTCCTTCCTCCCTTCCTTCCTTCCTCCCTCCCCGTTCATCCATAAATAGATAGACAGATAGATAGACATTAGTGACATATAAATAGAGATAGAGATTAGTGACATATAAATAGAGATAGAGATTAGTGACATATAAACATACAAATGCTATTAGTTTCCGTCCCTTCCCTCGTCTCTCTGTGGAACCTTAGAAACAAAAAAAAAAAAAAAAAAAAAAAAAAAAGCTAATTGATCGATGTACACATAGATAGTTAGATAGATATATGAATAGATATACATACATATAGATAAACAGATATGGACAGACAGATAGATAAATAGATATGGATAGACATGTAAATGACAGATATAGATAGATATAGAAATAGATAAATTGATTGCTATACACATTTTGTTTAAATTTTCGGATATTTCATTGCAAAGAGAGAGAGTGTAAATCGAACGTTGGTTGATGGCTGTTGCAAATGGAGTGTTGCACCGGTTTGCAACATATAGCAGATCATTGAGGTAAAAGGGATAGGAGGATTTTTGTCATATTTATTATTATCGTTATCGGTATCATTATTGTTATAATTGTTTTAGTTATTATTTTTGTTATCATTATTTTTGTCGTTCTTAATTTCATCATTATTATTATCATTGTTATTATTATTATTATTATCATTATTATTATTATTATTATTATTATTATTATTATTATTATTTATTATTATTATTATTATTATTATTATTATTATTATTGTTATTATTTTTATTATCATTATTATTATTATCATTATTATGGTCATTATCATTATCATTATCATCATCATTTTCATTATCATTATTATTGTTATTATTACCATTATTATTATTATTATTATTATTATTATTATTATTATTATTATTATTATTATTATTATGATCCTTATCATTATTAGCAATAGTATTATATCCATTAATATGTTAATATCATTACAAGTATCATTATCACCATTATCATCGAGATTATTACTAGATTACTACTAATATCTTCACCATCACTCTATGCAACAACACTATCACTCATTATCATCATCATCATTCTCCATACCTCATACTCCACCTATACGCGATCCAAACCACCTCCATCCACCTCATCCTCCACCCTTGCTCATCCACTCATCCACATCCGCTTTCTGCTTTGCAATTTCCACAAAGTTCATTTTATATGTCACCCTTGCTTGAGTTCTGTTTTCGGCTCGACCAAAGCACACATAGTAATGTCATAATCTCACGCAGTCTATCACCCTCTCCTGCTTGCATAAGCGTCACGATAAAGTTTAATATAAGCGTCGTTACATAAGACGGAGGTGGGTAGGATCCGATGCCTTAAAAGGAGCGAATAAAGGATTTGAAAGCGAGAGGAAGGATGAGAGAGGAGGATCGAAACGTGTATATGCAGTTGTGGATTCGAAAGGAAGAATGATGTTTTCTTTTTTTCTTTTTCTTTTTTTTCTTTTTTGTTGTCGTTGTCGTATTTTTTACCCATTCTTGTAAATCCCATTTCGTAGAAGATACGAATAAAGTTTAGTAAGAGGACGAAAGGACGAAGAGGGGGAAAACATCAAAACATGTTTATATCCTCGTAGATCCGGGAAAAAAAAGAGAAAACAGGATGCTCTTTTTTTTCTTCTCTCTCTCTCTCTCTTCGTCGTCACGTTTCAGGTGTTTATACATTGTCGCGTTCCAAGTACTTATACATCCTGCAGGAGAGAGAGAGAGAGAGAGAGAGAGAGAGAGAGAGAGAGAGAGAAAGAGAGAAAGAGAGAGAGAGAGAGAGAGAGGAGGAAAGACAAGTTTGTTAATGGAGTTGTGTCCGTGATAAGAAGCAAGCCGGGAGAACAAAGGGAAGACCGAGGCAGATGATAAGCCGAATATGTGAACCAGAGAACTTGATAAAAGGATGAGAGAGAGAGAGAGAGAGAGAGTAAAGGAGGTAGAGGGAGGGAGGAGGGGGGGTCGGGTGAGGGGTGGGTAATGGAGAGAGAGGGAGAGGGTAGAAAGAGAAGTAGAGAGAGAGAGAGAGAGACGGGGGGCGGGAGGGAGAAGGAGAGGAAGAGGAAGAGGAAAAGGAAGAGGAAGAGGGAGAGAGAGAGGGAGAGAGAGAATGAGAGGGAGAGAGAGAGAGAGAGAGAGAGAGAGAGAGAGAGAATGAGAGGGAGAATGAGAGGGAGAATGAGAGAGAGAGAGAGAGAGAGAGAGAGAGAGAGAGAGAGAGAAAGAGAGAGAGAGAGAGAGAGAGAGAGAGAGAGAGAGAGAAAGAGAGAGAGAAAGAGAGAGAGAAAGAGAGAGAGAGAGAGAGAGAGAGAGAGAGAGAGAGAGAGAGAGAGAAAGAGAGAGATAGAGAGTGAGAGAGAGCCAAATTGAGTGAGAGAGAGACAAAGAGACAGAGAAACAGAGTCAGACAGACAGACAAAGGCAAAGACCGAAATCGAAAAAGAAAGACAAATATAGAAACAGACACCAGAAAGAGCAAAATAGTAAATAAAAAAATACCACGCGTTGCAAAGACGTTGAATTGAATGGCTTCATGTTTGTTTGTTTTTGTATCTCGTATGCTGTTGTTTGTTTATTTTTGTGTTTTGCTTATTCATTATTGTTTGTTTGTTTCCCATCTGTGTGTATGTTTGTTTATATCTTTATCATGTGGTTTCGTGTTTTTTATATTCGTTAGCAATTCCATTTGTGTTTATGTTTATTTATTTATGTTCAACGTTGATCGAATATTACTAACAGAACACAGCGAACAGAAAAAAAAAGAACAATTCATAATGAACAGAAGAACATTAATGAGCAAATAGAACACAACCGTTCCTTTTCTCCCTTCAGTTTTCCTCCTTGCAAAACAAGCAGAACACCCAAAAAGGCAGAACATCCAAGCAAGCAGAACACCCAAGCAAGCAGAACACCCAAACAGGCAGAACACCCAAAAAGGCAGAACATCCAAGCAAGCAGAACACCCAAACAAGCAGAACACCCAAGCAAGCAGAACACCCAAACAAGCAGAACACCCAAACAACCAGAACACTCACGCAAGCAGAACACCCAAACAAGCAGAACACCCAAACAACCAGAACACTCACGCAAGCAGAACACCCAAACAAGCAGAACACCCAAACAAGCAGAACACCCAAACAAGCAGAACACTCACGCAAGCAGAACACCCAAACAAGCAGAACACCCAAACAAGCAGAACACCCAAACAAGCAGAACACCCAAACTAGCAGAACACCCAAGCAAGCAGAACACCCAAGCAAGCAGAACACCCAAACAAGCACAACACCCAAACAGGCAGAACACCCAAACAAGCACAACACCCAAACAAGCACAACACCCAAACAAGCACAACACCCAAACAAGCACAACACCCAAACTAGCAGAACACCCAAGCAAGCAGAACACCCAAGCAAGCAGAACACCCAAACAACCAGAACACCCAAGCAAGCAGAACACCCACGGAAGCAGAACACCCAAACAAGCACAACACCCAAACAAGCAGAACACCCAAACAGGCAGAACACCCAAACAAGCAGAACAACCAACCAAGCAGAACACCCAAGCAAGCAGAACACCCACGGAAGCAGAACACCCAAACAAGCACAACACCCAAACAAGCAGAACACCCAAACAGGCAGAACACCCAAACAAGCAGAACAACCAACCAAGCAGAACACCCAAGCAAGCAGAACACCCAAACAAGCACAACACCCAAACAAGCACAACACCCAAACAAGCACAACACCGAAACAAGCAGAACACCCAAACAAGCAGAACACCCAAGCAAGCAGAACACCCAAGCAAACAGAATACCCAAGCAAACAGAACACCCAAACAACCAGAACACTCACGCAAGCAGAACACCCAAGCAAGCAGAACACCCAAACAAGCAGAACACCCAAGCAAGCAGAACACCCAACCAAGCAAAACACCCAACCAAGCAGAACACCCAACCAAGCAAAACACCCAAACAAGCAGAACACCCAAACAGGCAGAACACCCAAGCAAGCAGAACACCCAACCAAGCAGAACACCCAACCAAGCAAAACACCCAAACAAGCAGAACACCCAAACAAGCAGAACACCCAAGCAAGCAGAACATTCACGCAAGCACAGTGA